TGCCCAGCAACATCAGGCAGCCTGACGGTGATCCATCAGGACACCTGCTCACAGAGCAGCCAGAGGAAGTGCTTCTCCTTCCCCACCAGGGAAGGGGGCTTGGAGGTGGGACCAGCAAAGGGGATCCTGTGACTAAAGTGCTGAACCCAGGGAGCCTCTTTATTCTCGAGGACATGAGACACACATCCCCATCCAGTGACATCAGAGAGAATGGATTTTAAAATGTTTCATTTACATAATTCAGCAGTAGAAAGGAACAAAGTGCAGATGCATACAATAGTATGGATAAATTGAAAAGTTATCATATGAAGTGAAAAAGACAGGATGATAAAAAAACATACTATATGATTTCATTTATATGAAGTTCAAAAACAAAAACCAACATCCCATCATATGAAAAGCGAGGACAGTGATTAAACAAAGAGAGGGGGGAAGTGATGAGAGAATAAACAGCAGCAGGGCTGTTGAGCGCTGGAAACTGCTATTCTGTAATCTGATTAATAATTATATGATTCTATTTCCTTGATAAGCAATCTGCACAATTATGATATGTTTCGTGTCTTTGACGTATGATAAAATTTAACTGCAAAATTATTTTAGAAAAAAGTATAGAAACCCGGTTTCCTAAGAAAAGCATGAACTGGAAATTGTCAAGTGTGCATTAGCGGTATAAAATATGAATAAAATGAGTCAAACAATGAAGCATTAACAGACTTTAAAATATAAACTAAAAATATGTACAAAACTATGTTTGAACTCTGCTAATACAATATCAACTAAAATAAGCTTTTGAGAAATTCTTTAACATTTAAAATGTTACCTTTTCTTCTTCATCATCTATAAGCAGCAGAGTAGAGTTCTTGGAAGCACAGGCCATCTGACTCTCAGTCCACGTTTTACTTTCGGTACTAATGTAATAGCAGTTGTTGGAATATGTAATCCACTCCTTTGGACAACGACCACAATGATGTGCTTTAGAAAATTTATGAATTAATATCCAAAATAATCTGAATTTTAAAAAGCAAAAGTTAACCTACATATATACATAGTTACAAACATATATGTGCATATCATATTCATACACCCTCATAGGCTGGGACATATAAAACAAAGCACACACACACATTCACAGAGAAACATCACCTCTCATTCACTATGTGCCCATATAAAGCAAATACATAAGCAAATATATCCATCTTTAATGTCCTGAAAGTCAATGAATGAATCCACTCTTTTAGAATAGCAATGTTATTTGTCTCATTCTGTTAAAGCAGTAAGAAATTTGAGCCAATTTGCAACAGTAAGTATGGTGATTTAAATGAAGCTTTCTTCATATTATTGCATAAGAAAGAATACTCAAAGTCAATATTTATTAACATTTATTGCCACATTTCATAATTTATATTCTCCCCAGAAATCTATCATATGTTTGCATTCCTTGAGATAGAGAAAAATATAAATGTACTAGCACCTGAACTTTGAAAATCATCATGTACCTTTCTCAATCCTTGTTGTGGATGAATTGCTCTGCTCTGGTATTACAAGAGCTAGGGAAAAAAAAGTAACTCTTTACAAAATAAATTTTGATATAAATAGATCATAATAATTTTAGGTTCTTAGTTTGAAGTTTGGTGAGCTGTTTAAGTTTAGAAAAATCTGCAATAAAATCAATTTTACCAAGAAAATAAAATGATGAAGATTTGGGGTAGAATATTACAAAAGCTTATAAAATCAAATGTTGCCATTTCTTACAGTATTGGTTTAGTCGATCTCAAGAATTAGTTTTCTATTTCTTGATAAGGTCTTTTAGTCTCTAAAAGAATGTCATTGAGATATGAAATATATATATATACACTCTTCCCTTATAATCTTTCAAAAATTTACTTACAGGAAATAACAGTTATCATTACCACAGTGGACAGCAAAAGGCAGACAAGTCCCAGGACCCCAGCAATGAGCTTCTCTGGAGGTGATGGTAAATCTACAGGGAGAGAAAGGGGAACACTGAGGAAGTGAGATGGAAACAGTTGTTTAGATAGTTTACACACGGTGGACCCTCATGCACAGGAAATCATATAATAAACTTGGACCCCAGACCCATATCTACCATTGCAATCTTCCTCTCAGACTATATACACCATTGCATTGTCAGGAAATACAATGTTCCATGAGTTGTTGGTCAAAGACTACACATTACAATGATGCCTGAGTAAAATTAGTCCTCAGATTTCATATTAGAATACTGTATTCCAACTTCAAGCTCTGATCCCCACAAATAAAACATGTTTCCCCACATATTCCCTACTGCTTCCCCACAACTCTGCACCCCAACTGCACTTCCAGGAACAGTGATGTTGTGTATCTATTAAACATTTTACCTTTGCAGTGGTAGTTCTTGTCACTCCCTTGAAGAGCCTGTGAAGCATTTTGAAGATTTACATCTGCATAGGTTATTTCCTGCTCAGTCACTGAAATGGAGCTCTTCGTGTCCTTAGGTTTTATTTGCTGTCTCCTGGAGCCCTTAGCCAGATTCAGTTCTGCATAGGTTACTGTTTGGTTACTCATCTCTGCAGCTGAGTGGTGTCCGAGACTGTGCTCTAAGGTAAGTGTACTTAAGAATGAATAGTATATGCAATGATGAGATCCCCCGCAGTAAAAGTGGGTGGGGTAGAGGTGAAGTGGGCTCATTTCCTAGTAGAAGAATCTAAAGGTCTCGTTTTAAATGCTTTAGAGCTTTAAATAAGAGTCTCATGGTTAAATACATTTTTAATATATTCTACATTTGTTATAGTATTATTTGTTAGAGCATAAAAAAGAGATAATTAATGAGGAATCTGTTTCATGAACAATAACATCCTCATTAATTTAAAGTCAAAGTCCACAGAAAATTTTAACACCATCACAATGTTTGTGTTAAAAGTTAAAATGTTCTATTAGAAAAAGGAGACAGGATATTTATGACAGTTTGGAAATCCAAAAGTGGTTACAGACTAAGTGCTAGATGGGAAATAGTAGTGTTCACATGTACAGTAATTTCCTGCACTAAATTCCATTTTTTACTGAGTTACATTTAGGTGTTGAGGAGTTACCAAATGGCCCTTTCTTTTGAGTGGTTGAGGACTTCTGAGGCATAGCAAAAACTTAAAGAAATATTTTACATGTTGGAAAATGTTTCACAACACACTGTAAATTATCCATAACCTAAACAATTCAGTAAAAAGAGCAACAAAAAATTATTAAAATGCTATTTTTCTAAATAATTGATCATTGATTTAGTGAGTATGATATGAACCCATAAAATGATAAAGTATAGGTCATTATGGAGGAAGACCATTGATTCAAGCTTTCAGAAACAACCTTCGATATCAAAGAAACTGAAGATCTCTTTAGTTGTGTAAGCAATTGTAATAATCCAGAAAATGTAATTTAATAATTCAGTCAATGGGCTCTGTAGTCAGATGACAGGAATTGACTCTGACTTTGAAATTTACAATGTGTGGTCTTTAAAAAGTTATTTACTCTCTGGTAACCTACTGTAAAATATAAAATGAAAATAATAATATACAAGATATGATGCAAGTAAAGCTCATGACACACCTGGCACTTATAAGCCCTCAATTAGTGTTAGATATTTTAATTATTGTTTTTGTCACAATTTCCATGTTATTATTTCTGATTCATTTGATTTATACCTTTTAAAAGAATTCAATAATCAGGAGTATAATCAGTATAGTGCATCTTTTTAGCATATTGGTCAATTTTTTTAGAAGTTCTTTGACTGTTGATAATTAAATTTAATTTAGCATTTTACAGAAGCTACCTCATCCTGATTTTTATTAAAAATCAAGCTGTTTTTATTCCACCTAAATAAGCATATAAGGAATAGTGTTTAGCCTTCATCATGCAATGAATTCTTTTTTAAGCATCTATTCATACAGGTTGGGCAAAATATAAATTAACATTTATTATACAACAAAGCACCTTGTACTGATTACAAAATCTTAAACTATTTATTCTTTATCTTGATGTCTGTAGGTGTCACTCTAAATTATATTGATACACAAACCCAAATATGCATGTGTGTATGCATGGGACTAATTTCTGCAGGTAATAATTTGAATGCTTTAAGAAATCTTTCAACATATTTTATATTTTAAGGTTGCTTTTTACTCTACATTATTCAAATGGAAACAGCAATGTTCCACTTTGAGTTGATTGCATATTAATTGTACATCAGTTGCATCACATCCAGCTTTTGGAATCTCCCACTGCATGAGCTGGGCTAATAGAGACAGGAGAGTAGTGACACATACCTTCTGTCAGCCAGAAAGTCATGCAAACTTTAGTGGAAGGCCAGCTAACTCTCATGAAAGAGGCCTGCTTAGCTGGCCTAAGCTTTAAAAGGAGAATTTTAAAAACATCAATTCAGGACCAAGAATAAACAACCTCTGTGACCTTCACAGGCTGCCTTGAGTGAAGCAAGAGTGGAAAAAGTGACTATCTCATCAATGTGTCACTTAAGGTCTGAACAGGAAATTCTCACAACTTTGGTTATTTTTATATTAGTTCATCTCATCACAAACCTCCAGAAGACAGGAGACTTGGGCTCTAACTGAAAGAACAAATAGACTTCTAAGTGTGTCACTTAGATTGCCCATTTTCAAATGCTTCTGAGAAATTGTTTTCATATTCTACAGATATGAGGGAACAGAAGCTTAACCACCATGAAGTTAGTTTGTTTACGTCTCAATCACAAACACTGCAAATTTATGCCTGTTAAGTATCTTAAGTATTACTTTTAGAAGTAGGTTGCTAAATGTTGGCATTAAATACTTCTTTTGATCATATTCATATTATTTCATTTGTATTATCATGGAAATTTTTTTTTAAATCACAATGCCTTTATCAACAGGTATTTAATGATATCAGTCATTAATTATTCTGAGAAATTACTAGGTTCCAAACTATATTGTACGTACCTGACATAAAGTCCATCATTCGCAAAATAACACACCTACTTCTCCGCCCTAGTTTTGCCTTCAATTTTATTCTTTTCACGTAAATAATTTAATGCAGGTTTCCTCTGATAAAAATAAGTATCCCTTGAAAGGATAAAAAATATACATACTGAACTATACCTCAGATGGAAATGTTAAGTAACTACTCTCAAAATCATTCATTCAAATATCATCTTCCAATCATGACTAGTTGTCTATATTTTACCAGAAATATTTGGTGTAAATGACAAACCCTAAGTCAAACTATGTGGCACAAGAAGATGTAATTTAGTAGCATATAGTCCTTCATAGCGATAAGTCAGCTGATAAAGAAATGTGCACGGTCAGGCAAGTTAAGAAAGTTTATTAAAAGAAAGTCTGGGGCCGGCCGAGTGGCGCGATGGTTAAGAACTCGCTTGGGATGCCAGAGGGTCCCGGTTCGGATCCCACATATGAGGGCCAGT